ATAATGTTAATTCTATATTTAATTTGTCAAACTTATCTTTTTTTTATGTAGATGACGAATCCGATTTGAGGATAAATCATTTTCAAAAGGGAAAGAATGATGTGAACATGACCTAAGATAAGAGTTAGAGCAAGAGAAATAAAGAAAGTTTTTCAACAAGTATCGATGATTGACCAAATTGTGTTTTAGATTAATTAATTAATAAGTTTTAGTTTAGTTTTATTGCAAGGTGTAATAAAGGTCCAATTGAAAATTTAGTTCTCAGTCTTTTGGGAGACCAAGAGGATGCATAGCTGATTGATTTTTGGATGCTATAATTTCAGTTACAATCAATCATTAAGTAGATTTCAATTCCTAGGTTAATAAATCATAATTAGCATTTATTTTTCTTTAATGAATATTTGTCACTCTATTGGCAAAAATTCTTTATAAGCTGAACCATTTTTATTAGAAATAACAAGTTGAGTTTTATTTTTAGAAATATTGGAGTTTATCTCTTTTATCTTAATGAGAGTGATTTTCTTAAGTTCTTGAGTGATTCAAGAACACTTGGTTGTATTAAAGAATTTTCACATCCTTTGTGTGTTGCCTTCCTTGGAAATAGTGATTCTTTCCTTCCACCTTACCACTAAATTCCTAAATTTCCTACAAGATTCTAACCTTAAAGATCCTAAATCATCCCCTTGTGATGCATATCATTTGGTATTCAGAGTTCTGGTTTAAAGGTTTGAACATCAAACTGATGCCAGAGGATGATAAAAAGAAAATGAGAGAAAAAATTCTTCAACAAACGAGAGAAAAAAAAACGTTGGTGAAACACTTGAAGTGAGGGAGAGCTATTTAGCCATAAAAAGTAAGTATAATTTTTGTTCTACATTTAATTTGTCAGACTTATCTCTCTTTTTATGTAGATGACGAATCCGATTTGAGGATAAATCATTTTCAAGAGGGAAAGAATGATGTGAATATGACCTAAAATAAGGGTTAGAGTAAGGGAAACAAAGGAAGTTCTTCAACAAGTATCGACGATTGACCAAATTGTGTTTTAGATTAATCAATTAATGAGTTTTAGTTTAGTTTTATTGCAAGGTGTAATAAAGGTCCAATTGAAAATTTAGTTCTCAGTATTTGGGAGACCAAGAGGATGCATAGCTGATTGACTTTTGGATGCCACAATTTCAGTTACAATCAATCATTAAGTAATTTTCAATTCCTAGGTTAATAAATCATTATTAGTATTTATTTTCCTTTAATGAATATTTGTAACTCTGATGACAAAGCTTCTTTATAAGCTGAACCATTTTTATCAGAAATAACAAGTTGAGTTTTATCTTTAGAAATATTAGAGTTTATCTCTTTTATCTTAGTGAGAGTGATTCTCCTAAGTTCTTGAGTGATTCAAGAACACTTGACTGTATCAAAGGACTTTCACATCCTTTGTGTGTTGCCTTCCTTGAAAAGAGTGATTCTTTCCTTCCACCTTATCACTAAATTCCTAAATTTCCTACAAGGTTCTAACCTTAAAGATCCTAAATCACCCCCTTTTGATTCATATCACTATGCTACAAGATTGACAGGTGTTATACATTACATGATTGTCCTCCTCGATCTGCTACCTGTCCAAACTGATCCTCCCTCATAATCATCTACTGTGGATTCTACTTCATCTTATACCACAGACAAATATGTTAATTTTCAAATGGTATAAGAATCATCAGAACTCTAAGTCCACTGCTTCTATTACACACACATGTACATCTTTTGTTGACCTAACTCAATCTCTTTCTCTTGGACCTTAGGTTCTTGACTCAGGCGTTAGAGATCATATTACTAGTAACAAATCTTTGTTTTCTTCTTTATCCTCTCCAAATAATTTACCTTCAGTTACAATGGTTGATGGGTCTAGGGTCTTATCTCATGGTGTTGGTAGTGTTAATCTTTTTCCATCTTTATCCCATTGATAATGTTCTTTATGCCTCTGGGTCTCCCTTTAACTTATTATTCACTTGTCTTCTAACCCATTCTCTTGATTGTTTTATGTTTTTTTACCAAAGATTTTGTTTATTTACAAAACCGGAGTTTGAGACAGATGACTGACACCGGATGTGAGTCTCATGGTCTTTATCATCTCCGTCCTTCTATACATGTTGATACAGTTATGAAATCTCCATCTCTCTTCCATGCTTAGCTAGGTCATCTCAATCCTGCCAAATTGCAACAACTTGTTTCTAGTTTGTCTAATTTATCTGGTTTGTTATATGAATAATGTCAATTAGGGAAATATAGGTAGTTCATTTCCTCGTAGTGTCTCACAATATACTTCGTCCCCTTTTACATTAGTTCATTCTGACATTTGGAGATTTATTCATGTTAAGTCTAATTTAAATTTTCAGTATTTTGTTATTTTTATTAATGATTATTTCATATGTACTTGGTTGTTTCTAATGAAAAATTGTTTTGAGTTGTTTTTTTTTATTCCAATTCTTTTTTAATAAAATTAGAACTTAGTTTGAGATTTATGTTCGAACTTTGCAAAATGATAATGATTGTGAATACTTTTCTCATTCTTTTAAATATTTTATGGCTTCTCATTACATTCTTAATCAAAATTCATGTACTTATACACCTCAACAAAATGGGATGATTGAGCGCAAGAATATACATCTTGTTGAAACAACTCACATTTTTTTAATTCATGGTGAGGTTCCTCAATATTTTTGGGGTGATGTTCTTACTGCATGTTATCTTATTAATTGCATGTCATCTTTCGTTTTAAATAAAAAAAATTCCTCATTCTCTTTTATTTTCTCATAAACCTCTACATCTCTTACCTCTTAAAGTTTTTGGGTCTACATGATTAGTTTATAATTTTTGTTATGGGTTTGATAAGTTATCTCCTAGATCACACAATTTTTTTTTTTTTTATTTTACTCTATCGCAAGAAGGATATAAGTATTTCTCTCTTTCTCTGAACCGTTATTATATTTCTACATATGTCACCTTTAATGCATTTTCCTTTTACTTTAAATGTCATTTTTCTCTATGTGTCCGTCTACTACAGTCAATATTCCTCTTGTTGTGCCTAATCCACCTTCAGATTCTCCTTCATCACCACTTCATGTTTATAATCAAATACAATGATCCCAATAACCACCAAATGACTCATTTCTAGTGCTAATTCCTTTGTCTTCTCCAACCTCGACGACTGAGTTTGACCTTCCAATTGTCCTCCGTAAAGGTATATGTTTTACACGTAATTCGCCTCCTCATTATACTACTTTAAGTTACCATTATCTCTACCTTTTTATACTTGCCTTTCGTCTATTTATTTTATGTCAATTCCCAAATCTGTAAGTAATGCCTTAACCCATCTTGGTTGGTATCAAACCATGCTTGATAAGCTGAGTGCTCTCAAAAGTAGTGGAACTTGGGAGCTCGTCCCATTATTGTTTGAGAAATTTGTTGTTAGTTGCAGGTAAGTTTTTGTTATCAAAGTTGGTCCTAATGATACTATTGACCGTCTCAAAGCTCCTTTTGTAGCTAAATGTTACACACAAATTTTTGGTTTAGATTTTGGTTATACTTTTTTTTTTCAGTGACAAAGATGACTTATGTTCGCTTATTCATAGTCATGACTGTTCTTCAACAATGACCTCTTTACCAAGTGGACGTCAAATATGTTTTTCTTAATGGAAAATTGTAAGAAGAAATTTATATGGAACAACCTTCAGGTTTTATTGCTTATGGGGAGTCTTTTGGATTGATATATAGTCTTCACAAATATTTATATGACCTAAAATAGTCTCTTAGGGTCTGATTTGGAAAATTTAGCAGTGTTGTTCAATAGTTTGGTATGATTTGCAGTGAGACAAATCATTCTGTCTTTTAACGTCACTCAAGTGTTGGATGTTATATGATCACAATAACCAAGATAAAGTTGTATGTTATTCATTGGGCAAGATCTCCTTCTGATGGAAGATCTACTTCCAAAGTGTTGGCTATTATATGATCATAATAACCATGATAAAATTGTTTGTTATTCTGCTGCTGATTGGGCAAGATCTCCTTATAATGAAAGATTTACTTTCAGGTAATGTATTTCTATTAGAGATATCTTGGAAGAACAAAAAATAAAGTATTGTGACAAAATATAATATAAAAACAATATAGACCTATGATCACAATCACTTGTGAACTTATTTAACTTAAACAATTACTTAAAGAGTTGTAATTTGAAAATATTACTCAAATGATACTTGTGCTCCTTTACATATTAATTCTAAACCTTTTTTTTTTATGAAAGAACCAAACACATTTATTTTATTAAAAAAAATTATATCTAAAAACATGAAGATCAAATTTGTTAACTCATGTAACCTTGTTAATATATATTTTCAACAAATTTTTATGAAAATCTATAATTAATTATATTTATAACAAACTTGATAAATATAATTTATATACACCAACTTAATAAAAACATCAAATATTGTTAAATATTATTAAATATTGTTAGTCATAATATCTAACTATATCTCATAATTACCATATTTAGGTATATTTGTTACAATTTAGTGTATTACTCTTTCTTATAAATATATTATCCTATGCATTTTACATTTAAAAAAGAAGATTAACCCTATACAAGTTATAGTAATGAACTAACTATGCATTTTACATTAAAAAAAGATGAACCCTATACAAATTATAGTAATGAAACTAACAAATCACTAGATATGGTTATTCAATTCAAACTAGTAATTTGATCCGTACTAACATAGCATCAGTATCCTAGTTACCAGGAACAAATTCTCTTTCAGAAGTGCCAACAGAGATCCCCGGCTTGAACTTGCATTAATAAACCCACAATCAAATATCAACTGCTAAAGACATCAATTAACTGAAGGAAGGAAACATCTTTGGGGTTTAACAAGACATGTTGAATGTTACAAAAGAAATTCTCCCCCAACTTGAATGAAACAAAAAGCCCTTTGGATATGTTATTTTTCATTGCCCGCTTGATTTTCAAGACCAAAGCGGCGTCTGAACTTAGCAATCTGTCCTAAACTCTCGGCCATTTGACGCTTAGCACGGAAGTGGTAGACTTTCCCAACAGGGTGGATCTTTGTCATCATCACATGCATCAACCTACCCGTTTGTGTAACGTAGGATATCCATTGCTTCTGTGGATGAACTCCCTTCTTCATCTCCTCCCAATTTGCAACCTCACCACCAACAAACACATTTCATCAAACATTTTGTATGCAAATGTCAGATAATTGAATTTCATTTTGGAATTTGAACAGCATGAAAGTAAAATAGACAAAATAAACTAATGGGTGAAAGAAAAAAAGATAGAAGTCTAAAAAGTCAGCAGATTTCTTGGCAACCACCAACCTCTTAAAATGAAAAAACACGAATTTCCCCATTTTCATATAAAATGACAATTAAATGAAAAAACTGAACTTTCATGTCAATTTAGAGAAAAAGCTTTATGCACTTACAGGAGCCAAAGAAAATAAATTCAATTCTGAGCTTCGATGCTCGTCGGATTCAATTCCCTGATATGGTCGCGAAGAGAGAAAAGACGAGGCTTTAGGTTTAGATTGAAGTTCATGGTGCTAGGACGTTTGGGCCCAATTGGCCCATTTGAATAAGCCCAACTACAAATATAATGTGTTTGGGTCACTAATAAAATCACAAATATTTTATCAGAAGTAAAAGTTTTATTATATTATTTTTTAATATAGAAACTAAAAAAATATGTAACAATATCTCTGATAAAATAACTGTCTTTTATATTTTATATATTTTCTAATTCTACATTAATATATATTTTATGGAAAATAAAAAAATGAAATAAGAAATCGTAATTATTTTATCAGAATTAAAAGTATTATTATATACTTTTTCTCCGTTAAAATCTAGAAAGACATAAAAAAAGAAATGGTGGATTAGTACCATTGTAAAGCCTTCGAAGGATAAGTGAGAATATTATCTCATATGTAGATATATTTATACAAATTCTAAAAAAATATTGGAGTTGTGTTTTCATCTTAAGACAATTGCTCTTATTTTTCCTATTAAAAGCAAACTTGTGAAAATTAACTTATTTCGTACTAATAATAATAATTCTTTTAAATAACTACAAATGGAAGCACCTTTATACACTTGATTAAAACATTTTATGATTTGTGGATGATAATTTAGGACAAACATTAAAGTAAACTATTATGATTTTGCCTTCCTTTTCCCCATAGCTTAACCCTGCTTTTCAAATAAAAATCAAACTGAAATGAAAACAACTTATCCAGGTTCCATAGATTGAATATACAGACACGGTTTCAAAACTCATCTGAAACGTAAAGATAAACCTAATCATAAAATTGATTGTGCTTATTGTTAGAATTTTCTGCGAGCAAACAATTTCACGGAAACCTATTAAAACTTGAATCAACCGGATAGAAAAAGAAAAAGGCTAATATCTCATCCTGTTGCATCCTGCATATGAAAACTCAAGTGGAAGACAACGGTTCATATCATAATTACAATAATTTTCGTTATCCGGATAAAAGGAAACACAGAATCTTACGCTACGCAAGTTTTCTACGCAGCCAAAAGGTACAAATGGTAAAGGGAAATAAAATCAAATAAAAGACAAAGCAAACCCAGAAAAATTGAAGGGAAAAGAAAGAATGAAGAACCATACGGTGAAGGAACCCTAGGGAGGGAGAGTGAGTGGGAAGCCTGTAATAGTGAAGAAAATTGAATGGAAGTACAGCGGAGAGAGAAAGAAATAAACGCCAAATTCAGTGAACCTCTTTTTCTATACCTTTGTATATTACCACATTCCATCACCACCCCCTACAGCTGTTATTCTTTTTTAGTCTTTTATTAATTTTTAATTTGTTTTTTATTTTGTTAACTTAAAATCATATTTCAACTTAATTTAATCATTCATCAATATGTCCATCAAACATTAAATAAGATTGATATTAATGAAAGTTTTGTTAAGGTAGAACATTTTGACTCTTATTTATAAATAAATATTTTAAAAAATTCATATGTGAAAAATACTTCTATTATTTTCTACTAAACATTTTATATTTTCATATTAATTTTTCTGGAAATTTTAATACTATATTCAGTTGTTACACAACTAAAAACTTTGGAACTATGCTTCGGCGCCATAATTCAACAGCTCTTAAATTTCACCATACAGAATGTATGAAAAGCTATTGGCTGGTTTACTAGTGAATTTTACACTCCTGGGATTTTAACTTTTTACCACATTAAAATTGAGAGTAGTTAGGAAATCATAATATATATTTTTATCTTTAAAAAAATCATATTCCCATATAGTTTAAGATAAAATGTAGGACACTTCTAAAAGTAGAAAATTTTAATCTTATTTTCACTATTAATTTCATCGTCTAAACCCGACTATATAGTCATGGGGCCACTACAAAATCACTGCACTGTCAGCTTTATAAATATAAGGTCTTTGAACGCACCTCAAAGCCTTAGTTTTTTGTAGAGACTTGTTGATGATCATAGACCTTGCGATACGGCATACATTTCTGCTTTCGATGTTTTTACACTTGCAACATTGGTTATAGTGATACAGATTTTTTTGGATGTGTTAGTATATATATTTTATTTATATTATATATATATACATATATTAAAAATATAATAAAATATTAAATATTAATAATATCTTAATCATAATTACTTAATCAAATTAAAAATATAATTTTTTTCTTTTATTTTAAAAAATAATAAAAATATTTTAATATATAGTTTAAATAAAAAATAATAAAGTAATATTTCTGCTTAAATTTCTACAATCCCATCATATTTGGTTTGTACTGCTTCGATTTTTCTCACTGGTTTGTTATCTTAATTACTCTGCTATAACTGTTCTTGACAAGCTAATTTTCTTTACAGAACGGATACCACTCATGCTGAATGGACAAATAAACCCGGAAGATAGAAGAACCCATCTATTTTATGACTTTCCAAACCGTTGGCTTTGTTTAGAGTGCAAAGAACTTAGATTTTCTTCCCAATTTTCAAAGAATTACTTATGCTATCCACACCCTTTTAAGCTTTTTATCAGATAACTTGGCAGATTATCACATTATTGTGATTCCCAGATCAGGTCGTTTGCATAACCTTAATTTCATTTTGATCTACCATGGGTACCAACAGCTTTCATGTTGCAATGTATCCATGGTTTGCTTTAGGCCACCTTACCTCATTCCTTCACATTTCCAACAAACTTGCTGAACGTGGCCACAAGATTTCATTTCTCATGCCTAGAAATACTATACTAAAATTTAGGCATTTCAATCTCCACCCAGATCTCATCTCCTTCATTCCAACACCATACCAGACGTGGATGGTCTCCCTATTGGCTCTGAAACAACTGCAGACCTTCCTTTCTCACTGCACTCCCTTCTCATGACCGCAATGGACCTAACTGAGCCTGTCATTGAAGCTTCTCTACAAGAACTCAGACCCCAAATGGTGTTCTTTGATTTCACATATTGGTTACCTGCATTGGCATGCAGGTTAGGCATTAAGGCTTTGCATTACTGCACAATAAGTCCTGCCACAGTGGGGTATCTGATAAGCCCTGAAAGAAATCTACATGAAAAGTCATTAACAGAAGCTGATCTGATAAACCCTCCACCAAACTTTCCACCATTAGCCATCAGGCTACGATCCCATGAAGCAAGACAGTTGGCCACTGCTACTGCAAAGGATTATGGCAAAGGCATTTCATTTATGGAGCGCCAATTGATTTCTTTTGCCAGTTGCGATGCTATCATTTTCAAAACTTGTAGAGAAATGGAAGGTCTTTATTGTGATTATATTCAAAGCCAAATGAGAAAGCAAGTGCTTCTGGCAGGACCAGTTTTGCCAGGCCCACCAACCTCGATTCTTTGGCTGGGAAGTTTCAAACCCAAAACAGTAATCATCTGTGCCTTTGGAAGTGAATGCATTTTGAAGAGTAATCAGTTTAAGAACTTTTATTAGGTTTTGAACTCACAGGTATGCCTTTTCTTGTTGCCTTAAAACCCCCTATTGGAACTGAAACAATAGAATCAGCTTTGCCTGAAGGATTTAACGAAAGAACAAAGGGAAGAGGGATGGTACGTGGGGATTGGGTTCAGCAGCAACTGATTTTGAGCCACCCATCTGTCGGTTGCTTTGTAACTCATTGTGGGTCTGGGTCATTAACAGAGGCGATGGTAAATGAGTGTCAATTGGTCCTGCTGCCCCATGCAGGAGATCAATTTATTAATGCAAGAATAATGAGTGGGGATTTGAAAGTGGGAGTGGAGGTTGAGAAAAGTGAAGATGGACTATTTACTAGAGAAGATGTGTGCAAGGTAGTGAGAACCGTGATGGACAATGATAGTGAAGTGGCTCAAATGGTGAGAACTAATCATGCTAAATGGAGAGAGCTCTTGTTGTGTAACGGACTGGAAAGCTCTTATGTGGACCATTTGGATCACATGCTGCATGGTCTACTCAAATCTTGATTAGAAGTTTTGGAAGTGCCAAAATAAATAAAGGCATAGAGTATTATGAGCGAATAAATATTGATGAGATTGTTTTTAGATGTATAAGCTGAATTTGACTAGATATTAGACCAAAATTAAAATCATAGTCTGCTTCTGTAAACTTAAGACACAAATGTTATAATTTTCTCCAAATAAATGATGCAAATGTTATAATTTTCTCTAATTCAATTATGGGATCATAGTGTTTATGAAATCTAATAAGGAACAAAATTACAGTAATGAACTAACAAATCACTAGATATGGTTATTCAATTCAAACTAGTAATTGAACTTGCATTAATAAACCCACAATCAAATATCAACTGCTAAAGACAAGTAAGGAAGAAAACATTTATGCGGTTTAACTAGACATGTTGAATGTTACAAAAGAAATCTGCTTGAGAGTATATTACCAATTTCACTGTAATTCTCCCCCCCATGAAACAAAAGCCAAAGTTCCCTCTGCTAACTGGTTATGTTATTTTTCGTTGCCCGCTTGATTTTCAAGACCAAAGCGGCGTCTGAACTTAGCAATCTGTCCTAAACTCTCGGCCATTTGACGCTTAGCACGGAAGTGGTAGACTTTCCCAACAGGGTGGATCTTTGTCATCATCACATGCATCAACCTACCCGTTTGTGTAACGTAGGATATCCATTGCTTCTGTGGATGAACTCCCTTCTTCATCTCCTCCCAATTTGCAACCTCACCACCAACAAACACATTTCATCAAACATTTTGTATGCAAATGTCAGATAATTGAATTTCATTTTGGAATTTGAACACCCATGAAAGTAAAATAGACAAAATAAACTAATGGGTGAAAGAAAAAAGCTAGAAGTCTAAAAAGTCAGCAGAGTTCTTGGCAACCACCAACCTCTTAAAATGAAAAAACACGAATTTCCCCATTTTCATATAAAATGACGATTAAATAACAAAACTGAACTTTCATGTCAATTTAGAGAAAAAGCTTTAAGCACTTACAGGAGGCGAAGAAATTCAATTCTGAGCTTCGATGCTCGTCGGATTCAATTCCCTGATAGGGTCGCGGAGAGAGAAAATACGAGGCTTTAGGTTTAGATGGAAGATCATGGTGCTAGGACGTTTGGGCCCAATTGGCCCATTTGAATAAGCCCAAATACAAATATATTGTGTTTGGGTCAACTCCTATATTTTCTCAAAAAAAAAAAAAAAAATCACGGACCCCAAAAATAAGGCAGGACAAAAATAAAAGTAAAAAGTCAATCATCTAAATTCGTGTCTTTTAAAATAAAAATACATAATATCTTCCGAATTTATGTGGAGTTTAACTAGGGTTTTTGGAATTTGGAATAAAGGGGAATAGAGTGCGTCTTCCTTTTGTTGTTGTCAAACTTCAATCTCATAAAATAGTAGAAGGAAGAGGAATTTGATTCGAAAATTGTAGCGTAGCGTGGGTGCAATTGAGCAATACGATGGGAAGAGGAAAATACAAGAGCAAGCCCACCGGTCGCCGCCAGTTCTCCACCCCAGAAGATCTCCGTGAGTACCTATACCCATTATTTTTCGAAAGTTTACGTCTTTGGCATTTAAACTTCAATTGCTATAACCTTTTCTTTCTGGGCATCCTTTTGTTTCTTTTCCCTCAACTTATCACCTTAATCAACTAGCTTTCTTGTTATGAAATGTGCTTGTGAGCTATAATGGGTTATTTTGTTATTTTTTTTGTGGATTGTTGGAGCTGTACAATGGGATGAGGGTAGTGCATGGATGTTTTGATGTGGAAATAGAATTTGTTGGGATTGTTAGATCTGGAGAGACTCCCTGGTTAGGGACTCTGGATTCTGTTCTTGTTTGAAATGAATTTCTATTACTGTTCATTTAATTGGATTAATAACTGTTGAGTATTGTGCCATTTGTATGACTCTTCCCCCTGAAGCTTTGAAGTGACTACAGTTGTAAATAGACACGAGTCAGGCCTTAATTGAACAGGGAAAATTGTATTTGTTTATGGTGGAGAGAGAAAGGTAACCACTCTTTGATGAATGCTAATGGAGAAAATAAGTACTAATTCCCGTTTTCATTTGCTGAGATGAGATTGTCATTTTGGTTTGGTTTGGTTTCAGTGAGTTTATATTTTGGCTACCCCAAATGCCGACGTTGTCTTCCCTCCTTATTATGGACTACAACATATAAATGTCTGTGGAATTTGTTTTTGAGATTTAAGGGTTTTTTTTTTTTTTCCTTTCAAGAATTGTTGACTTGACATTACATTTATAAAGTGGATATTGTCAAGAGAAGGATTGAATTGTAGATATGGGAGTGAGACATCAAGCAGACACACAAAGGAAATTATTTTAAAAAGCTTTAGAAAGTTTTAGGTGATCCAACAATTTTACACTGGTAGTAGGTTTAGGATACATGAAGAGGAAGAAATTCATATATGTTTTTGTTCAATCTTTGATTACTTTTAAAATAATATCTTTTGTTCAATGGCAGATGCTCTTTGTTTCTAGTATCTTTTTGTGTCAGGTTGTCACATTATCATATACTGGGAAATTAAATGCTTGTTATTATGTTGTGATTTACTGTCTTGATAGTTATTTTCCAGTATGCTAATATTTGTTGGAGGGATTGCTAGTTTTTAAATCCTAAGCCAGTTCCTTTATTTTGAAACTTGGCTGAAGTATTCTTGTTAATGCCACCACTCTTTTGGCCCCTTCCCCTCATAAGAAAAGAAACAGAAAAATGATATTTCGTAATGATGAACAAAAATAGGCACTTCTGAGAACTTAAATATTGTTTTTTATTACTGCAGTTGCTGGAACCTCTAATCGACCTCGAACTTTTAAGCAGGTTTTCTTCTGCGTCCATTACTCTTCATTTTGCACCTCACTCCCATATCACAGACACTTGTGATCACTTGCGCATATATATAATGTTTTTATTTTCATAGAGAATCTATTGCAACAGTTCATTTTTATATGCACATGATATGAATTAATTTGTTCTCTATATTATTTATAACTTTTTTTCATTATCTTTACAACTTATTAGAAAGAAGCTGAGCATGTAGAAGAGGAATCCGAGGAAGTATCTGGGGAAGAATCTGAAGAAGAAACTTCAGTTAGTATTTTGCAGTAATTACTAATATAGATGGATTGGCTTTTTCTTTTTTCTTTTAAAAAAGGATTTGTTTCTTTATAGGATACCCCATCCTAATGAAGTTTACTCTTATCAATATGTAATTTATGCAGAAGAAAAAAGGAACTCAAGGGATCATTGAAATTGAAAATCCTAACTTAGTAAAGCCAAAGAGTGTGAAAGCTAGAGATGTTGATGTGAGTTCAACTTTCCTATTCCAGTCTTTATGTAGACATCATTAAGAGATTGGAAGAATAATTCTATTTACTTGTGGATGCAGGTTGGAAAAACAACAGAACTTTCAAGGCGTGAAAGGTTAACTACTCTTTCATTTGCTTGTTGTATTAAAAGAAGGGGGGGGCGGCGAAGTTGACAAAATGAGATCCTACCTAGCTTTCAAAGAATATCCTATAAATAAAAAACTTCATTTAGTTAGACTTAAATTGAAAATGCAAGGTTCTGACTAGTTGGTCTCAATATATTAGCGAAGTTATTATAACATTTATCCACAAGATGAACACTCCAATATGACAGCACAAACATCCCAAACCTCCATCACAGATCTTTAACGAGGTTCCAACAAATAACCTCCCTTAAGCCACCACTCAAGTGAAATAAGAGATACAGAGTATTTCAGATATACAGTCGTTAACAAATAGAATAGAGTAAATGCTTCCAATGAAGTTGAGCACAAATAAAAAAGAGAACACGGAGATATGGATCCAAAATGATGTAAAAAAGGAGGGAGGAAAGCCATTACCATGACATTGTAAAGATATGGGGCACACCAAATTCACGTTTGTTACCTTTGCATTGTGCAACCTGGCCTGCGGGGCAACCCACAGAAGATGCCCAAATTCCCGATTTCATAATCTTCCTTGGTGATCTTGCTACAGATCTACAATTCCACCACCCTGCCTGGAATAGAACACAGAAGGGAGTCAAAAGTTGTAGTATTGTATAATGCATAATATTATCAACGGGGGGAAATAGTGAACTTGAAAGAGTATGTTGCTTATTGTTAAATTGGTCCAGAACATTCTTACGTCTAATTGCTTCAATTCTTATATTTGGGGGAATATTGAAAGTAAAACTTCAGAATTTTTTTTTTTTCAACATGTTTAATTTTCCCATCTGTTTGCAGGGAGGAGCTAGAGAAACAGAGAGCCCATGAGCGCTACATGAGGCTACAAGAGCAAGGGAAAACAGAACAAGCAAGGAAAGATTTAGGTACCAGTAGCTTTTGAAATAGTTTCTCTAATTATGTGCTTTCAAGGTTCTTTTTTCTACCTTGTCTTAGATAGTTGGTATTATTATTATTATTATTATTATTATTAATACATATGCAAACAATTGATTGATATGGTAAGTTCTAAGCTGTATGAGTTCTGCAAAATAAAATATGGTTTGCAGGGAGAAGTGTTATGTTATGAGGGCTATTGTATTGTTTCCCGATGATTAATGTTTACTTTGTCTTGCAGAACGTTTAGCTCTTATACGTCAGCAAAGGGCAGAGGCTGCTAAAAAGAGAGAAGAAGAGAAAGCTGGTTCGCTCTTAACTCTCTAAATACAGTTTCTTCTGATCACTTTATTTCGATATCCAAAAGCTTGATACTAATGAGTAAATTTGTCTCAGCTAAAGAGCAGAAGAAGGCTGAAGCGCGCAAGTGAGTTTCCTAGAGAATGTAATGTCGCCAACTTTACTCCAATTAGTAGGAGGAATATGTGCTCTTACTACACTTAAACATTATGTCCATTTACCTTTATATTCTGGTATTACCAATCTGGTAACATGTAATGCAATTATTCTCATATTCTGTGGTTTAAAATCGTGATTATACATATAGACTTTTTTAAAAGTTACCTAATCACAGCTGAGTCAACTACATTTTTACTTGCTTTTTCTTTAGTCCTAACAATATTTCTTCAATCACACACAGACCTCACCCCTCCAAAATGGCTTCATTCATGGTCCTCTGTTATGTTGTTCTTTATAATTTTGGATGGCTACTAAAATCCACTTTGCTAGATGAATAAAAAAGAATGAAAATTTTCTTAATGATATGCCTATCCTTTAATGCAAATGTAGGTTAGTGTTTCTAAGCAATTTGATTCAGATACTGAAATTGAGCAGTGTTTTTGTTATTCAGATACTACAATTCATTAGTTTTGAGAAAAGCACATTTGGTAACATTTGTTTTGGAACCCCAATTGATTTGCTCACGTATGTTCAAGAACAGCCTTCTATAATTCATCAATTATAATGGCTTAGGTTTCGTCAGCACTTTGCTAAGATACAAGCCGACTACCATTTTTTTTGTTAAAATTTTAATTACTAGTGATTGCTCTTAGAGGAATTATTTTATAAAGTTTATTTTACAATGATTTTTTTTATATTTTCTTTATAATTGAGAATTGTATTATTTTTTAATAAGATTACTCTGAAAATAATAGAAGACTTTTATTTCTGTTACACTTTAAATTATTTACCATTTCAAATTATTTTGGAAGTATGGTAATGAAAGACGACGATAACAATTATTTCTGAATACCATGTGCTGTGACAAACTAATAACGCACCATTTACATTCTCAAAACAGTTATGCATTTTTCATAAACCAATGCAGTTATTTCAACTTGGGCGGACCTACGAGTTCATTAAAAAATATTTTTTATCTTTTATTTTTTCAAATTCAATAATATGTTTGTTTACTAATATTGTAATATTTCATTTTAGAACTATTTTAATAATTTATATATTATACTTTAACAGTGGAAAGTAATATTAAGGCTGTTTGTTTAAGCTTATTTTAGAAATAAAGTTTTTTAATAAAATAACTTATTATGATTTTTATTATGTCTGGGTAAAGAAGTAGGAAAAAAACAGTGTTATATTTTTTTTTTTTTGTGAAGGAAGAAGTGATATAATTGTGTTTAAAAGATATGAATTTTTATATAGTAATTACCATTTAAAAAGAGCATATCTATTATATTTATCAAATATTAAATGTTAAATAATGACTAAATTGTTACAAGAACAGAAAATTTGAGGATGAAAAATGTCAAATTCATTCCCTCATTTTAGTGGGCTGATCAAATTTCCCTCAGTGACGTTGTCCAAAGCCATATATAAACACTGAATTGTGTGAATGCACTTTATCGAGAGATTCGGGTTTCAACTGGACCCCTTTTGGTCCTTTCGTTTCGTACTTCTTTCATAGTTCAAAACTCCAAATTCAAAATCAAATCAGCTCAACCACTACCTAATTTGAATACCCCGGTGCAGTGCAGTGTGCAATGGAGGTTCTGTAGACCAAGCTCTATGACAAGTACACCCAACTCAAGGTCCGTTAGTTTTATTCTGCAATTCATCTTTCTTTCATCACCAGCTAGAAACTGGTTATCAGACATTGTTACCGATTCTTTGTTTTCTTTCTGCTTTTAGACTAAAAAACTATCTGATTTGGATCACCTCAACGATCAACAACAGCTTAAATCCATCAATTGCTTGTCCGGTATGTTTCTTCTCTATTCCTTGTTTCCTTTCGGCGTCAATTCTCTCTTCCAATTACAAACAACGAGTTCTGAATTTTGAGTGTTTCAGCTGCGGAAGAGGTGATAGAGCACTTGAAGACAGAAAAGGAAGAGCTTCTCGGACAAGTCAATGACTTGAGAACAGAGCTTGCTTCGCTAAGGTACGTTTCCCACAGAAATTCTTCTTCTTTTGTGGGTTTTTTGAGAGATCGTTTCCTGGATTTCTTTTGTTTGTTTACGAAGTGTGTATGTCAGGCTGCAAAAGACAGACATACAGCGGACTGTCAGAGACTTTTGGTGGAGGAAAACCATAAAAGTGAGACTCTCCATCCTTTCTGCTTCTTCAAATTAAATTTAACTGCTTGTAAATAATTGTAGTCACGTTTTTCTCTTTCTTTTAGTTCCTGATGCACACTGGTATAATAATACCAGTGTAGTCGTCGAAAATAATACCTTTTACAGTGTCCTTCCTTGTTGTTGTGCTTATCGTGTTATGTTTTCCCCAGAATTTTATAGATAATTTAGGTGCAACCTTGTTTTTAGCATATTGCTTTGAGTCTGAAACTATTCATATTTTTCTGATTAATTCTTCGTTTGAAATAGGAAGCAAGGTATATGGTTTACCATTAGGGAAGATATCTAGTTAATCTTTATCATTGCATCTATTGTGGGAATCTATGTTCAATGTTGAGGTTTGATGATGTTTCTTATTCATCTGTTGTGAATGCAAGTTCACTACAGTATTTCCATGTGTCTGTCCTTAAATGTATCTCTATTTCATTTATTCTCTTCTCTATTGATGATTCGGGTGTGAACTTTTGGCAGATGCAGCTCTTTCTGAAGAAGTTGAGAAATTGCAGCAGCTTCGCCATGAAGGAACGTTTCGAGATTTTAATAACAATAGTAGGATCATGACTGTAGATGATCAGTTTAAGGCTAACTCTAACAGCTCATCATCTATAAGAACGACTACAAAACGTACAAGGCAGAATGCCAAAGGCCTGCAGGGAGACTGCTTCTGATAAGGTGTGAATTCAAAACCTTAAGAAAGGAATATATAAGTTTAAGTATGTGTTTATTTATACACATGCATTCTGCACAAATTTAATTTATTTGGGTGGAAAATATAATCACCATAATATGTTGACATTTTGTTGTGAAAAAAAATGCTGGAGTGCAGTACGGGGGCTAATGTTCAATCAGGTTGGTGTTAGCAATTGTTATTCATGCTTTATGTGTGAATTGTTGGCTGGAATTTTGGTATATATTATATATCCTTCAATGCATTTTACAGGCACTGATTTACAGGATAGTGGTCGTGGTGACTGGCTTATTCAGGTTCTTTTTGAGTATGCACTGGGCATGAAATTATCCACTTACAATCAAACTGGACGAATATGCCTCTCTGCACTGCATCAATCAAGCGGTAATTAATAATTTTGATTAACAGATTTCTTACACGTTGTTTCTGAGTTAACAGCTGGTTGAAATATGAATATACAAGATTTATTTCCCCAGGGAGGGGGTGGGAAATAAACTATAGTCAGTTTTTGGACACTGATTTTAAATACAGAGTTCAAAGTTATTTTATTTTATTCTCAGTTCAGTAAGACCTTTGTTTCATTTGTTGCGCTCATTCTTTGACAAAGCTGCTTTTGGTCTCATTTTTTAGAGTAATTTATCTGCTACATCTTGTTTTTTAAATAAAATTCTTGTCATTTAACATTTTACAGAATGTAAATAAGTAACTGCTGTTAACATTTTACAGAATGTAAATAAGTAACTGCTGTTAACATTTTTCTTTGTTTAGGTTACTCCCTCCGTTTATCATGGATAAGCAAATCCCCTGAAGAAGAAGCAGAACTGATGTATCATACTTTATCTCTGGGTACATTTGAAAGAGTGGCACCAGAATGGATGAGGGAGGATCCCATGTTTTGAATCTGAATCACTAATTTTTTGTAGCATGAATTCCATTTTCCCCTCACGCATCCTTTTACTGTACATATTACCTGCTTAATTTTCATTTACAGAATATTAAGTTATGCTCTACGTGTGGATTTGCTTGTTTCTCCCAAAACACATTTCATATACCATCTGCTAAAAGAATTTGTAAAAGGTATTTGAAAGAGCATTCTTACATCACTTGTTATTAACTTTTTGGAAAATACTAACAACTAACATTTATTTGTTAAAATTTTAATTACTTGAGATCGTTTTTCTTTAATGATGTATATGCTGTGTACTTTTTGGATGGACGAGTGCCTTTTTCGAAAACTAAGCAGCTTAACGTTGTTATTGACTTTTTGGATGCATGGGTGTCAGGCATTTTGACTTACCTAACGTTTTATCTGGCTTGGTGGTATTTCCCTTTCAAAACTACCAATTTCCTTAGTGATGTTTGATTGAACCGGTTGTGATATTGGCTGGGAGCATATGTCTAGAGGGGGCGAGTTTTGTGCCAATGTTCCAGCGCCAATTTCTTAAACCATTACATTATTTAAAATTCGTTTGCTTAACGATACTGGAACATCTACTGTGTTTTGAATAGCTGGTAGATATATATAGTTCAAGTTCATTTTTAGTAGAATGTTGTCATGCAATCTACATGATCTTTATGTGATGACCTTAATAGGAAATTTTAATAAGCACAGGAAAAAATTCCACGCTGCAGCTTGGGAGGAGGTCTGGCAATCCAAATCTTGAGGAGGATTGGGAATTAAACTTTCACGGGAAATGAATACTTCCTTTTTTATGAAAGGGTATATAGGATATTTGAGTGAAACAGGAGGAACCCAGGGTGAATATTATTAGAAGCAACTAATTGTGGACCTTTGCCTTTGGTTAGAGAAGAAAAATGCATCAAATTTTTGGTGGGATATTTGCAAATGTTGGTCACATATTGAGGTTAACGATACTTTGAAGTTCGTGAATGGTAAAAACATATAGTTTGGACAGACCCCTGGCTGCCAAATGTGGAAAGCTGGTAAATGGTAAACTTTAAAGTTCTGGTATGATTAGTTTGAATGCAAATTTTGTTGATGAGAAGGGGTGTCGGTGCCTGAATTCGATTTCTCATACTCTCCAATGAGCAGACTATGAATGCAAATTTGGCAGGTTTAGACTTGCTTCACCTTATGAAAGCATGAGAGCTAACCGTATAAATAATTGAGAGATAATATTATTCTCAATGTAAATAAGTTCAGATCTATTCTTCTAGAAACTTTTGAGAACGAGTTTTTCAAAAATATTTAGACCTGAGTGGAAATATTCTAAAATTAATTTTGCTGAAACTTTTTAAAAATGTCAATCCGAAATATATTTAAAAATTAGTTTTTGAAAGCTTTCAAGAGTAAATCTGAATTTAGAATTTACATATATATATGTAAAAAATCATTTTCGACTTTAATTTTCATAAGTTTTTGGGTTAATTATATTCTAAATTTTATAATACAAAATTTAAAAAAATTATATATTTTTGTATCAATTGTTTTTTTTTTTAATTTTTCAATTCAGAATACTCTATAATGTATTTCTGGATTACTCCTTTCATAAAATTAAAAATATTATTGTATTTTCAAATAAATACGGGGTGGTGGAAGAAGATACATGGAGATGCAGAAAGAAAGTGACATTCCCAAGTACACTATTCTCAATCTTATCCGACGGTGAGAAGGCATGAGAGGATTAAAGTGACACTGGAAATTGATTATAATTTATAAATGTATTACTAACCAATGATCTCAGATCAAGAAGGCCTTGAATGCCAATTTGCGCAAGAGGTGGCAACTCTACGGAAACTCCCCTGTACGTGTCCAGAGATTGAATCTTTACTAGGTGCTTGTGGATAAAACTCATGGCTCATCAATTGCCCATCATTTTCTATACTTTCTTGGGTTTATCTAAATTGGGTAGCACACAATCTTGTGGCATGTACGTCTTATTATATAGTTAATGGATTTTACTTTTTATAGGCAGTTAATGTTTTGTGGAGAATGAGAAATGATAGATCTTATTATTGCGAATAAAGAATTGATACATCTTGCCGAGTCTCTGTCAAATTACGAAAGCTATGCAGCATATCTCTCTGGCCAATCAAATGACGTGCGAAAGACTCAAAGCTAATCACACAGCAACGATCTCAGTCACGCTGGTTGGAATTCACCCAGCCTTCTCTATGGTCTAGAAAACTAGTCTGCTTATGGCTCTTGGAGATCAGTTCATTGCAAACATATTTGAAAGGAAGTTAACCAAGTGGTAGATTCCATAGTTCAATTCAGTCTTTCTTCCTTACTGCCAATTCATATTTTGTAACACACAGTCACTGACTGAATATAAAATATGTAAATATAAAATCTAAAGTCCACGATTAATTTGTTGTTCAAGACATTATCCATTACCATTCAATTAAATATTTATCTTCGTACAGTCAAGAAACTGCCATTTGTTCTGCGGATACATTCCATTTTAAAAAATGTGGTATTAATGTATTTTTGTGGTCTTTAATTAATGAAAATTATAGAAGACAATAATGAAACGAAAGCGGTAATAAGAAGGAAGGCCGGCAAGTGTAGAAATTTTGGAAGCAGAGGCTCACATGGTTGTCTTCATTTCAATGCATAGCTTGCTGCATTTGACGATGACGATGATTTATATTATTTGAATAGATTTCCCTTCAATGAAACCCCCCGTCCATTTAAGATTTTCAGTCTATTGGAGTCATAGTCTTACTATTTGATACCATATCACTTGGAGAGAAACACTAGACTAGACTACACTCAATATGAAAAACTTCAAAATAATAGTTTTTTTGAATCTTGTTGACTTGTATGTTGTCGTTTCTATCTTCAATAACTTTTATGCGAATAAAATACCCATCTTCTATGTGAAAAAATTATATTAGTTTCCCTGATCATTTATGTTTACCGTACATGTAATTATTTCCTCCGTGACCTCTCTATCATTCAAAAGCGGATACCTAATTAGATGGATGGATCTTGTCACCAGTAGGATAATATCAGTTTAATCTATATTTTAAAATAGGTTAATTTTTTTTCTATGATTCTATCACTATTTTTAATTTGATTAAAAGTAAATTTTTTAAAATTTTATTTAAAAAATAATATATGATTTATTTATTTATTTATTTAAAATTAACTTATATTTTATCTAGACAAAATAAAATTATAAAATATTATTTTAAAATATTTATCATATAAAATTATAAAATATTCATTTTTTATTTATAATTAATATAAAAATAACATTAAATAAATAAAATTTTATAAAAGTATGTTTTGGTCTATACTATAAAATATAGTTTTTTATAATTTAAATAAAAATTTTCGTGGAAATAAATAAATAAAAAATTTAAATTTAAATACATCGACTTATGCTTTTAGAGGTATTCACGTCTGAAGATAAACATGAGAAATCACAAGACAACAATAAAAAGATAAACAAAGTAAATAATATTTATATTTAAAGTTTATTTATTTTTTAAATTATATATATAATATTATCAAATTAATTTATTATACATATATATTTTAAAAAAATAATATTATTTTTATTTTATAAATGATTATTATTTTATAAAATAAATCACTCTATTAATCTATAAATTAATCTGATTTAAATCCATTTAAATTATAATATCCAACTAAAATTAACCTAATTATATTTAAATAATAATTTTTCTTACCTAGTATATGTGTTTGAAACTCACTTATTTTAACACCCATGATATATAAATCAGAATAAAATACAAATAAAACGAAGTCTAACTATTTCCAGGGCTTTCACGTATAGGTTGTACTTTTTTTTTTTTTTGTCGAAAATAGGTAAATTTTAAATAACTTGTATTATGAATTTATAACACGATTTCTGTATTAATTGAAAATTAGAAATAGTACTATGAAGTATCATGATTTTTTTTTAATAATTTATTATTTATTGTTATTTTTATTAATATGATTATTATTATTATCATAATAAATATTAATAATTATAATATTATTTATTATTATTAAAATAATCATATTTCTTATTATTATTATCTATTATTACAATAGTAAATAATAATTATTATTATTATAATAAAAAATATTACAAAATAAAAATAAGTCGTTGAAATATTCCTGTTATGAACAACAATTTTTATTTTAAAGTGAGACTTATCCATATTTATAATTTTTTCTAAATTCAATTTTAATAATTTTTTTAAAAAATTACATCCTTTGCGATATTACCAGTTTTAATTATAACATAATTGTAATAAAATATTAAAAATATAATAAATGTAAAATACTAGAACATGATATTAAAATTACAATAAATATAAAATACAAGAATACGATGATAATATATTTTCATAATATTAAAAATATATTATTGTAAAAAGTTGTTAGGAAAAATAGCACTAAATAATACTTTCGCAACAAATAATATCATCTAAATTTAAAAAATATAGAAATATTAAATGATATTCTAATATAAACATAATTAAAATTTTATTAAAATATGAATATGAATTTGAAATATGTTTATTAAAATTAACATTAGAACTTTCTAATATTTCTTATTTTACCAATTTTAGTTGATATTACATGCTAAAAAACTTTAACTTTCAAAGCATGGTGCATTGTTTTGTTCTATATATTCAGTAGTTATTTTCTCAAAACTCTTTAATAAACCTTATGCGCATAATCTTTTATTATATTTCACGCTATATTATGCGTGCAAACATTTTTATGGTTAAATTGAAGTTTAAGTAGTAGGTTTCTTTTTAACAGAGAATTTAATTATATCTATAAGCTTTATTAGATATTTTTATGAATATAACATCTCGTCTAATTATTATTATTTTAATAAATTTTAGTTGAGATTCTAGTAATCTTTGGTAAGTTTTTTTTTCCTTATCCCTTGTCATCTCTCATTCT